ATTGGACGATATGGTCTCACATGACAGAGAGATAAATACATTCATGTTTACCTGTTAAGATTGCCATACATTGAGCACTCGCTCCTACGATTCAGTGGTGTCATTTTTTTTTGTCTACAAAAGCGCACTTCAGCTTCATGTACAGAGGGGCAAGTAACACGACGAAAACGCTCACTTGCTTTGTTATTCCACTTTTTAGCTTCAGATTTTCCAGAAAATTTATTTCCGTGTTCGAACGCACCGATGACGACGACGCGAAACCGAGGATCGATCATTTAGCTCGCTTCTCTTGGGGCCATGCTGATGATTCTAAGGTTTATTGCCACAAGAAAATTGTCGCTCGTCCGAAGATAACTCCAACACATTTTCGTGTCAACGCTTTTCTGCTTTGCTTACTTAGAATGTACATTCTAAATCCTTCCGTGTCATCATGCCAAAAGGTAGCAGCCATGCCTATGTTTGGGTTACCTTTTCGAAACAAAATAGGTTTCGTTACTTGAGCAGGCAAAAAAAACTTAGTTTTGATTCCACCTCTTCATATACGGCTAGCCCTCCCTTATACTGAAGACACGAGAACTTTACCACGACTATGAACATTCATGTATTTCAAATACGTACTCAAGGTAATCTAAATGTGCCATAAGTGGAGTGACGTTGTTCCTGGCGGGTGTAAATGACCGTCACGGTGGTCAACCGCCGTTCCCTACGGCTGCCATTGTAATGGTGGTAAGGCAATTGCACCTGCATATCGGTCAGGGGCCGTAGGTCAGACTTCGTATGATGAGCAGGATGAACGTGGCGGTGCTGTACACGGGATAGCCCACGTCCAAAGCGGTCCTGCAATAATCGAAAGAAAAATGCGCTCAACATGAATGTCATCCAATCAGCCTCTGTTACTGTCTGATGCCACATTTATCACTCTCTGTGGCGGTTTGTTTTAAACTGACGCTGTGGATCCTGTTGCATATAAAGCACAAAGCACGCACCCCATGCTGTTAAGAAAATTCCGAACCGGCTAAACTCAAGACAGTACTACAACGATTTAATTGGATCCAACCGCAGATCAGGTCACGCACTATCCGGTGATGTGCAATAAGATAACGCGGAAGAAAATCCGATTGCTGTCAGAACAGATTCTCAAAACATCAGGTATCTCTCACGCATTATAATTCAATGAATGGCATGTCATTCACGGTTAGGGAAGACACCACGTTATCCACTATAGGAACTTGATTTTTGAAAGGTCAATAGAGAGGTTCGGTAGCATCACAGTTTGGCTTACTTCATCAAGATAAAAAAGGATATAGCATTCGGAAAAATTTACGAAGGTAATTTGAATAAGATTTTTTGAAAATTTGAGTTCCACAGAGACGACTTCAGGGAAAATGGAACAGCTATGAGAGGTAATTTGTTAATGGTTAATAGGATTTGTACCTCTGCCGCAGAGGTCTCGCATGCTACCACGGCAGGATTTGCTCCTTCTGTTGTTTTGCTGGTGTACGGAATGGTCACCAACATAAGCGGGAAGCTTGCCTTCCTGTGGGCCGTGCATGACGCCGCCCAGCTGACCGCAGAAAATGGCAACGACGAACAAGCCAAAAAGCAAACACTCCACGAGAAAGATCACCTAAACGGACGAGCAATGCACAAGGAACAATAATAAGATCAAAAATGAAAATTTTTAGCAAGCTTTCGATTAAGAATGACGAAATGTTGTGCACCTACACATTTGCTCATGGATACACCTAATGCATTTCTTACCTTGGTAAGAGGTCGACAACCTAGCTGAACTTTACTTATTATGAAATTATTCATCATGTGGCTGCTAGATACCAGGACGATAAATGAAATGGCAACTGAATAAATTCGTAACTAATTTACCGTGTGCATTAGCCGACTCTGACGATACTCAGAAAGGGATGAACTGTCAGCTTTTGGTGACTCGAAGTACCAAGAGATGCCTATTACTATTGTTCCGTACAGGCAAGTGATTACCGTGTATACCAGGAACTGCAGGAAGTACTTCCGATTCAACTCGCCCACGCAGTTATTGATCCTGCAACAGTTTCACAAAAGAGCAGGACTTAACTCTAAATCCGAAATGTGCTAGGTCGTCCCAAAGTTAAAAGTATCAACATGGTTCTTTCGAGATAAAAAAAAATTGAAAGATATTTATGTCTATGTGTATGTCTAACAAATAAGAAAAAATGTCGTGCTCAAAGAGCTAGATAGTTAATAGATATCCTCGGCATACTATACCGATACGTGTTTACATACATTGTTTTTATATAACCTCTAGCGTCATCGGTAGTTACAAGCTTGCAAAGAAAACATGCATTCCTTGCGATCAACACAGAAGCCAATTCTTGTCAACTAAAAACTGTTAATTGTTAGATAATCTAGTATAGTACAACAGGAACTGACTTTCAACGTGTTAGCCGGCGAATTCGATACTCGTTTAATATAATAATAATCTATAAACTGGTTTAAACCTTCTTTTTTTCACTAGTGTGCGATTCCGATCAACCATTATAGTCAGAAACGTTTTTTTTTTTTTGTAACAGTAGCACCGGTAATGTTCCAGAGTCACTAAACACGCGGCATACCATTTATTTCCCCCGTGATTTTCATCCCGCGTTATCCTGTATACGGCAAAAATGCAGGTGGTTTTTACGTACCAAGGACAGTGATGATCCACTCCTCGTATGCATCGGTCGCATATTCGGCAGTGGTACGCGTGGGGAGGTCGAAACGTCTCGCAGCGGATACAAATTGTCCAATCACCGTTCTGTAAGTTTTACCATTATTATGGAAAGGATGCTGTATACTAGATATGTATCGTACAATATTGTTTATTTACTATATTTGCTTGTACCGTAATAGTTTTTAGACGATTGCTCGGATTCTGATAATTACGTACGCTTGTCTATTGTGCTAACTAGAATGAAATAGTTACAATTCGAAGATTGCTCGCTTGATATCTGAAGTTATTGAATTTGATGCTTACTGAATCGTGTCCGTAAGACGCTGAAGACTTACTGCGCAAGACCTTAACAACAATCACTGATCCCAACTATTTCGTTGTTGATAAACTTGATCTATATCAAGATATTAAAAATACCTAAAAATGTGGTGTGGGTTAACATGATTGTTGCAAAAAAAACACCTTGTTGGAAATGTATGAACTACTAAGCTAGCTAAAGTGGCGAAGGTGTGGTTACCAGATGTTCCTTCTGGTAAAACATGGATTTTAACGCCAAAAATGCAATTCATATGGTACATAACTACATCTAGCAGGGATATGGAGTACTTTACGATTGAAGCAAATCGTTTAGTTATTATCGTTAATTAAAATTATACATGGTACGCAACATAATTTTCAATGTTGTCATCATTGCTTTGCATTTGTAAGCCATTGTTTCTTTTCTAATGAATAGAAGCGGGCAAGTAGGAACAAATTTGCCTTTTTATATTTTGCTATACCCAGTACCGCTTTAACCCAACACGTGTTTTATCGGCCATACATTTAATAACTCACACAATATCGGTTTTGTAGTACAGTTGAAAAGTCGATATCGGTTTTTGGTAGCGGCACAACCCCTGGATCTCCAAAACTGGCGCGGCCGTGAGCCCACAGCGCCAGGATTAAGAATGTGTTGAATAGTACGAAATGCACTGCGCCCCATAAACTGCAAGGAAAAATATAAAGAAATTAGTCGAGCTTTAATATACGAATGAAAATACCGGTGTTCATTTTAAACATTATATGGGGTCATCCATTCCCGACGTATCAATGTTTATCAAACGTTTGCGTTACAACCAAATCGTCGATCGAGGTAAACTGCTGTTTACAAGAACCTCCAGAAGATGCGGTTTTATCATAGACTTGAACAGAAGCATTGAGTTTATCGAGTTTTTTTTACAATCCGAGGCCCAACATTTAGAACGATACCCGGCACTTTACAGTAGGCATTCTGCACCTTCTAAAACATTTTTCCGCTTTCGTGTGGAAGGGTTTTAAGTTCCTGGATCTGTAGCTGCTGACTTACGTCTTAGACGCTCAGGAAGAGTCCGTATGGAGGAAGTAGCTGAGGACATGTTAGGGAATCCGAACACATCAATTTCTCGCTGATCGAAAGCCTTCTACGGTTGAAACTGGACGACTTGGATAATATGTGGTTCCAACAAGACGGTGCTACCTGCCATTGCGCATTCGAAACCCCATGGTTATTGCAGAACAAATTTGGTGAACGTGCAATTCTCTGCGGGGCACCCACATCATGCTCGCCCCGTTCCTGCGAATTCATGAACGCGAATCCTGAACTGACTTTATCCTGTGATGAGGTATTTGACAAGCAAAATTTATAACCTTCAACGTTGAAGGAGCTAAAAGGAAGTATCCGACAACAAAAGTAGGCAATGATGCCAGATTTTTGTAAAAAAATTTATAAGTGTGTGTATCATTTTAGCTCTGCAACGGAATGCCGATTCTGTCGTCCGAATGACGTTTTGTATACAACATTACGGGAAGCATGGCCATTTGCATAAAGATCTTAATACAATACATATTCGATTTAATTTTATGCAAATAAATTTCATTTCTGTGAGCTGCGTAAGGTAAATGCGTCAATATGATAAACTGTGGCTTCTGTGTATATTTAAATAAATTCTTAGTGTTGATATTTATTTCTATATTTTGATATTTATCTTCAATACCCACTGGTGTTGTCTGCTGGCTTTGAAAACCTGTTTACATCAAAGATACATAACACCGAACTTTTTTTTTGTTTCGCTGTTGTTAAAAATTGCGTATAAGAGTACGTCCCATTACATACAACAATAATTCGCAATAATTACAATAACCGGTTGGATTCAAAAGCATAGCACACGGCACCTTTAGTTTTCTGGTCTTGTTTTTATATTTACTCGGTGTCCAGGGTATTCCAGGATTTTTGCCATTAATAATCGGCATGATAAACAAAGCATTCATTTCTTACCATTATAACTTGTCTGTCTATTTTCTAACCTGAACCTTTTGGCTTATTTCATAAATATTAAGTCGTTTTTCTTTTTAGCGTATGCCTGCGTGAGGCCAGCACAAAAGCCTGATGGAGACCTATTGATCTTCGATAACACAGGGTGGCAGCAAGCAAACTAAATCAATTTTGCATTTCTGCACTTCATAGAGCAGGATCGAGCTATAACTAAATATGAAGGACATTATGTAACCTAAATATGATTAGCTTATCGTTTAGCTTATCGTTTTTATAGACATAGGTTATTTTGTCAGCCTGCAAATGCTGAGAACCGGTTGACAAAACACAATAGTCCTAATTTAAATCGTAGCGCGAAAACCGTAGCACATGGAATATGAAGAACATTTCAAAGTTAGCAGTTAACAGGCAAAAACTACGTGCTAAACTACCTTGATGCGGGCTCACGGAGATACCCAAAGGAGTGAGCAATGCTTATTGTTGTGTTGGACCTATCTCAATCAATTCAAAAACACTAGTTATGTTGTTCGAACTGATCCGTTTCTTTTCATTCATATTCCTGCTCAGTCGTCAGCTATGATGACGACGACGACTACCAGCGACTATATACGCCCAAGTGCTACGGTCAAACTTTAACACAGTGAGCAATCTCATGCACAATTCCAGAACTGAGCATAATACCAACTGCATCGTTAGAATAGAATATTATACTTTTATGACTAATAACATCTGCTTAGCTAGTTCGTCTACGGCGGCCGTGAGAACGACTGATTGGCTTGAGCAATGGTATCATACAATAAATAAAAACATGACTGCTGTTACTTTAAAGGACAAAGAAATCAACCCGAAAAATCTGCCCGCAAAACTGTTGACTGAAATCTAAATACGTTACGTGACGTAACGCTATACAGTACGTTTGTAACGAGAAAAACAAGTAGCTTGGACAAATGGAAAGCGTTGCTAAACCTTACGGATAGAGAATCGTTAAGAATTTTACCTGCTGCTTCATTCAAGAAACGAATCAGCGTATGCTTTACACTGTATTGCAAAATATAGTTGTATAATTTTCATTATCGTAATAGAACCGCATTTTGATGTTTGACGGATGATCGAGTGAATTTAACTGACCCGGGCTTATTCCTTCTAATGTAGCAAAGGGGTCATACCCAGGTATGACACACCTGACGAGATCGACATTTGCATTTAGAGCGCTACTTCCTCTCGACAGCGATTCCTGCTTGAAAAATATCAGTAGAAGGTAATTTACATCAGCAGCCTTTATGTGCTGTTTGTCAAAACTTGAGTTACCCAACTAATATTACCTTACCCTTACACCCAACACTACCCTTACGAAATTTTAAAGCACTTTGTGATCACAGGCGTACAGCAAATCGCGTGCTCGTTAAACTTGACAGACAGTTGCAACTTTCAACTTACAAATACTGATAGATACATAAATTAATTGCTAAATGCAAAATGCGGATAGGCTCAAGTAATATAAGAGTGAATCAACAGGCACAAGAATACTGAAATTGAGCATAAGAGTACTAAAGATAAACGTATCGAAACTAAAAGCCGTGCATTAGTTCCGTTTGAGAATTGTGTTAAAAGATGTTTTAACGGAATTGAGCCAAGAATCGCCCTAAGATTACACCTGAACAAAACGTTACACTGCAATATACTGCCAGCATCAACTTTTGAACTCGTAAAAACAAGTTTTAATCGTAAAAAACATAATAACAGCGGTTTTTCGAGTATATCGTTTCTAGCCTAACCAGATGGATTGGACGCGTCGCTCCGCTAGTACAGTCGACGGCTTCCTTAATTTTTATTCTGAAGCTGTATAATTTTCCTTGTAGTTAAAATTATAGAAACAATTAGGGTCAGTTGCATCATACCCGAGATCAGTAAGAAAGCGCACAAACAAACAGTTGGTGAAAATGTTTTTTTCCTGGTAAAAAGCGGTCTCATCTTCTAAACGGCTAGCTACAACCGAAACAACAATGGTTGCACTTCCACTAAGCCGTCTGTTTTCAGTCTGTTTTGAGAAACGGCTAAAGCCCATATATATATTTTATACAATAGATAAATTATTTTATACAGACAGCTTTCGGACGGCAAAACAGAAACTGAAAAACCTCCAAAACGTCACAGATGCTATGGAACTGTCACAATTCTTTTGCTATGCTAGTGAGTGAGAACGCTTTAGCCACATTTATAGTAGACGGTTGTGAGGTGAATGACTATTGCAGACTCGTAGCGATGGAATAGAATTACAGATTTAGCTGACGACTATCTCATGACGTTCACATCTTTGTCCCTCGTTTTTTTTTTTTACTAACGATCGTGTTGTATGATTCAGAACGAAGTTTCATCATTTCACCGACAAGAACCAATAGGGAATGCAACCTCATACGCTGTCGTAACCCCATAATAAGATAGGCAGAAACAAGAAAATATTAAGTTGAAAAATTTCCTCGACTTCCTATTATGACAAAATTCCTGTTGATTTAAGATGTTTTCAGTTGAATCAATAATATATCCGCCGCAAATAACGGCTATCAAGTTCACATTCACGATGGCCACTTGAGTTTATGGGCAACAAGACAAAGGTTACACAGTTACCAAAGTATATATACCCGACGGAAAAATGTTCGTAGGTATTTTTTGCACGGGGGCAAGAAGTTACATTTAATGGTTGAAATGCTTTATAATAGCTGGAATTGTTTAGTGAGTTGGACCCTTTATATGGACAAATGGTCCACCCTTCATTGAGAGCTACACCTTGGCCACCCCTCGCTGTTACCTAACTTATCGTGCCAACTGTCGAATGACCTCTGAGATTTGACCATGCTTGTAGGCGTCAAAGAGAGTTCTGAAATGACCAACGCACAAGTAGCAGCTGTTCGTTCGGTCCAACCGATTATTGGGGTTGCATAGTGCCGTGCTGTTCTAACTATTGTTACCAGCTTACTGCATTGACCTTCTAAGTACCCTCAGTGGGACTGTGCTCCTTTCACCGCATTTCGAGGAGGCACCTCAACGGAGAGAGGAAGGGAGAGAAAAAATCAGGTAGGATTAAAGAAGAAACAGAGAATCCAAGAGAATACATTTCGTACCCCTGCAAGCCAATGACTTGGTCATTTGTAAGCTCACATCATACAAACACAAGAAGAGTGTAACAATCGGTGTCCGTTTAATGTTTGTCGCTTATGAATTGCAAAGGATAGACGTTTTTTGTTGATTGAGGATCTAGCTTTGTTCACACTGTACCTGTATACAAATATATGGTTATCGATTTGTTGAGAGAATTAAACTCTACCGAGCAACTACATCGCATATGAGTCGCCTCGACTTGCTCACCTGTCAGCTAGAACCGGTAGAATCATCCAGTAGATTAGCGCGTACTCCGCATACGCCACGCACCCGTATATTACCACTAGACATGATACACCGCAGACGTCAAATTTCGACATGTTTACACTGCGTAACATCAACAGCAGCGACCCACAGCGACAGCAGCCGACAAGAACAACAACATCGACACGATGAGAACCAAGGGCAATTTTAATTATAATATTTCACTGGCCATTGGTGGCCAATTCGTACATCACCGGTTATCGCCCTGAGCTACTGTTAACATCCGCCTATACTGCCGTATCTGCAATTCGTGCCGGCAGTGAACGTCAGGCTCGTCTCTTTGTTTTTCGTCTGGTTTTGCACTCGTCTACTTCGTCGGCATTGTTCCACTGTTGTTTGTCGGTTGATGGACACCGCAGTCATCGACTGCGTCGGTGGGCTCCAGCCCGCTCTGCTCTGGTTTTCTGCAGTACTCCTCTTGCGTTGTCGCTGTTGTTGCGTACAATATTATTTTTACGCCGCGAAGCTTGTTGTGTCTACTAAGCAATGCTCCGATTATTACAAAATGGATACGGCTATTGACGGCGGCAGTGGTGTTGTGCCGTGCCACTGCTAACAGTGGTAATAACAGGATGAAGCAATATTTTCGACCGTAGTAGCGAAAGCCGCCACCGCAGCAGCAGCGCCGCTACCGCAGCAGCAGCGCCACCATCAGTCAACTCCCAGCTGTTCTGTCGACAGATAGTGTCTAGAGAAAGGAAACTTTTATGCTGTTGGCAGCAGTAGGAAGCAACAATAACCGTAGCAGGCCAGGTGCAGTGGCAATGGGACACCTGGAATAGGACAAAATGTCCAACGACAGATAGAATGTACGGAAGCTCTGCGTTACTTCGCTGTAAGTCAGGCAGACTGGTTTGGTAGGCAGACCAAGCCCTGAGGGCATCAACACGGAAAGGCACGACGGGAACCGAGAGGCACGTAATGAGCAGGCGCTGTATTAGTCGGCCTGTTTACTAACTTTTTGTTTTCCGCCTACACTGCCTTTCGTACGCGTTTACGTGACCAGCTCGCCAACCGCTCTCCGCTCTAAATAGTGTTAAAGAATGATAGCATGAAAGGGGCGAGCTATGTCTTCTGACTTGCCTTGTGGCTAAACAGACTATGGCAAGCTATACGATGGGAATGATAACGGCGGATGATCAGTTGACCGCCACTGTTAGGATGTGTAAACTGATCATCAGCGGCGATGTCAGTAGTACTATAGTACCTGATAGTACTAGTACAGTTACGATACGTAACACGTTAACAAAAAAACCTCAATCATAATCAATTTATGTATAAGACAAAAGTAGGGAGTACGTAAGCTTCTAGACTACGAACCTAATGAGGCGGTCGGTGAGTTCAGAGATGCGTTCTAACACATTGTCCAGTCTAATATTCGACACTGCTGTGCTGCTTGTAGACCGCTGACACGTTCTTTTCTTCGGTCAATTATTGCTACCAATCCATCGGTCCCAACCTGCTTGCGCATATTAACTCGACATGTTTCGCTTGCGTAGTTATTAGCGAGCTTGTCTAGGTTTTCGATAATCGCTGCTTCGACTACTCACTCCGTGACGACGGATTTTATATAATATCCAGACATCGAGACACACTCATTGTTCAAATAAGTCGGTGATAGGTGTGGCAAAAAGAATCCAAGCAATAGGCATCCTACCGACGGCTAACTGGGTGACAGCCAAGTGTAGTTCAGTATTTTCGTACTCGCCATACCCAAATCAGTTGAAGTATGAAGGCAAGTATATCTTACTTCTTTAAGTGCAATGTAAATCAACCTACAACGATTCTTCTTTCACCATTGACGATAACCCCATATGCAAACGGGCCAAATCCTATCCTATAACGGGCGAACAAACGATAGCACACAAAGGGCACATTTCATAGAACGAGCACAATTTGAATATCGTGCTAGGATCGAGAATGTTTTACCTAGTCAGAAGTGCCCGATAAGCCAGCTAGCCGAACTTACAATGTTTACGGATGCTGTTGATTTTTGCTTCAGCTTTTGGACTCTTTCCCACCGTTTTTCCTTTTTCGTCTATCCCGTTTCGCTTACCCAACGTCTAAACCGATACAATATTACGGACGACCGAAAAAAGATAGCGGAACGTGGATGGTACGGAGTCGACTGTGTACAGCGAAACGTACCGAAGCGCTCAACAATTAGAACATATTTCGGCGTAGCTAGAGGATCCGCAGAGAGGACACACAGCGTTTTAAATATAGGCATTGTAACTGTCCATCCCGACGGTAATATGCAGAATTTCGACCTACAAAAGTTTTGAATACGATCAAACGTACGTAGAGGACGTAATGAGAAGGAACAAGAATAATACGGTAAACCTGGGCAAAGGTGTCTTTTTTGCATGTTGATAATTTTATTTCACGAGAAACAGAGGCCGACAAAAGTTCGTCAACGGACGGAAAAAGGTAGCTAATAATTTTATGCATTTGTCGCAAAGGTACATTTTTCATGTCTGCTGTCACATTAGAACATAAAGAAAACGGACCTGCGATATATTTATTGAAAGTAAATCATACACTCTTATGCAACAATATGCAGACGCATTTTTTTAAATATTTAACTCCAATTACAACAGGATATTTATGCTATTTTTAGCCTACACATGATCTCATCGCTGGTATTTGGGTCATTTTTGAGAGGAACTGATGATTCATAGAGGCCAATAAACGGTAAAGCAAAGCGTTGTTTTAGTGTCTTTTCCTTGGAGCAAAATAGAACTATATCAAGACATACGAGTACGTTAGCTATTAAATATAAAACATTTAAAAAAAAGCCGAGTACACTAGCTACAGAACTGCAACTGCAGCTAGTGTACTCGGCAAAACCTCAGTAAATTGAAGAAAACATTTCCACGTACGGCTCTTTTTCACTAAAATGATTGAATTTTAATATTTTAATATAGATTGACAATTTGTAAAAGTTTTCTTATAACTTTTACACTTTTCACTGTGGTTGTTTATCCACTTTATAATAGTTAATTCGTTTAGGATAACAGACAGGTCTACTTGATGGATGTAGATTGTTACCCACGCCAACATGCACATATACAGTGTAGCCAGTTTGGATAGATACAATATTATTGCTTTCAGAATCGAGTCTGGGTTTGTAATTGTAGCTGATCTGTACCTCGCCATATGGGGCATCTTTCACGCAAACCTCTCGATTGTTTTCGTCCGTACCATAACACACGGTCACAGTTTGTCTTGAATTTATTGCGTGACCATCCATTTAAGTGTAAGTGACCATTTGTTCTTACAGGCACAAAAGCAAATAAAAATCTGTTCTATTTCAGTTTATCATACCTTAGCTAAGCATTGACCTCTAAATCTAGCTTAAGATGTACTAGCCTTCTATTGCTTAATTGGATACATCGTGAGAGTTATTTAGCTTAGTTGAGAGCTTGCGTACGAAGCTTAATCCTAACTTCCACATATGTGCTATTCCTAGGAGCTAACAAATTGGTTTTAGCGAGAGACGGAGGGTCTTCACTCTCCTCTGCTTTTATTAAGGTACAGTTTATGTTCACCCTTTTGTTGCACGTGTCGACCAGTCGTTGGGTTTTTACATCCTCTACCACAACTACTACTACTACTACTACTACTACTACTGCTGCTACTACAACTACTGTTACTACAAACATCAGACCTCGCAGAGCCAACAGAGCCCGCGCAACAGGGTCAAATAGCACATGATACAGAGACAAGTGCTGGCACGTCAACAGATACATGGACGCGACGAAGCAGCTATCGAACGGACATCAAAGAAGCCGATCATAAGCCCATTCCTCATGAGTCTTCAATCGTCGTCATGGTTTTCCTCCTCTTAGAAGTGCAACATTGTATTCGTAAGCCGCTGCCGAATCTAAAGACTAAAAGAGGAGGCCAAATGGTCCATATTAAGATAGGATAGAAACACAGCCATTATTTGTGAACTCGAACCGAGCTCATAATTCCCAAAACGTCCGCCTTACCGAGAGTCTGCCTTCGCCTGGCTCAACAGCTTCTCGAAGAACCACATCCGCTAAAAACCTTAGCAGGCATAGAATCACAGCGACACAGGTAGTCCAAACACAGCAGGCCTCCAGATGCGCACTGCAAAACCGAACTGAGCTAGCGGCGGCTGTAAAGGTTAGCTAGCAGGTCCAGCATTTCGATCCACACATGCACGCGTCCTATTTAAATCCATTCGCGCCTTCGCTGACGCTGCTGCAGTACAAGGGAAACATAAAGACAGTAACAGTGAAATTCGTTGTCACTGCCGCCCTATCATACAGTTACAGCTATATCGGCAAAAGATGCCGCAAGGGAGTCGCAAACGTAGCTTCAGCTTGTCGTTTCCGCGGCAGTGGCTTTCCACGAATCTGCGGCCTCAACTTTACGCCCTAAAATGAATGAAGACGATATATGCCGAGACAAACCGAACGATAGACCAAACGGCAACCACTGCTCGCATTTTCAAAGAGACGATTTGTTTGTTATCTGCTGACTAACAAACAGACTCCGACTCGCAAGAGAAGGCGGCATTGGCCGTTTTGGCTTGCCGATACGAATAAATTTTGAGGCCGTCAGATACAAGTTCTATAGATATGCATTACACTAGAAACACAGCATTTATACTTGTTAATTTGTTTATTTCACATGTGCAAGTGTTACATATCTGAAAACGGGAAATTATTATGTCAAGAGCGTGTACTCATGCAGCCCTCCTCTGCAGCCCTCCTACTCTTATTCAAACAAGTGAAGATAATGTTAACAAACAAAGTGACTGGCGACCTTAACTGCAACAAAAGCAGAAAGACGATATCGGTGAAACATGATTGCTACAAGCCGAGTTGAACTTGCTTGTTAATATTTCAGTTGACAGAAAGTGCGTTCGCATGAAATTCGTAAACTTTTATCAAGATGAACTTGGAAGAAGTCCATCCGTTCGTAAAGTTAGCCAAACGTCACGCGTATATATATACTACTATGAAAACTTGTTCCAGGTGATTTATGAAAAAAAAACCTTACACTTGTTAAGCTGACGCGAAGTTTCTAAGACGTTATCGCTTACTGGATTTAACGACAGATGAGGGTTTGTTGTGCTAGCCTAATATAGCTTGTTCTGATAGCCCTTCGAGATAAATGTGCGTCATCTCAATTCTAACTAGCTCTACTTTGTGAACTTACGAGTCGAATGCGTCTATTTTTAACCCATTTTTACATACTTATTACCTATTTAAGACAAAGACAGCAGTTTGTCAATGGGGTAATTTAAAGGTCAAATGATATCCTAAAACAGATTCGTATACAGCTCCAGGTTGAAAAGTTGTGTTATACGTCATTTTGACCTACTACGAAATGATATCGCCAACACTACTGGTAACAGCATTTTCTTGATTTTGATAAGAACGCCCTAGCATAAAAAACGATTATTTTTTCCATAGTTTAAGTCATTCCAGAAACTGATTCTGGAATGAGTTGAATTATGCTTAAGGCTCCCTTTAGCGTACTTTGAAAACATTGTCTGGCCAACGACAAAAAAAATTCGGCCAAACCTCAGCTGAGAGTGGCAGCGACAGGTAAAGTCCTGTCGATAACGATGACAGTGGATTCGTTCTAGGTTCGTTAGGGGGGGCATTATTGATGCCTACTTGTATTTTTTTTATCCAGCCTAAATATTACATTGAAAGCAGTATCGTATGTGGAAGATTTTCCACTTATTTTGTTAAGTTGTACACTTCGTGGCAACAGAGCATCTTCGATTTAAAACCAGTAACAGTAGCAGTACAGGCCATTCATGTGATAATATTACGCTATGACGACAGTTTCTAACCGGATCCTTCAGCTAATGTGTCGTATGCGGACGACGAACGTACTTAATTTAGAAGAAAAATGCATTTACGTTTTACGTTTTAAAATGCAAATTACGTCATTTTAATAATATATCGCAATGATCCAAACAACGAAAGATAATAATAATGCAAGAAAATAAGTCAAACAGCAATCTAAAAAAAATGACGATCTGGGAATTGAGAAGTGGTATTGTGTTTGACAGATGAGAAAGACTACCGTCAATGTCCTTTATATTAGGTTACAATAATATAGTTTTCGGTGTACGGCTGCAAGAACGTCAATGGCTAAGCCATCGAAGTTCGACAAGAAGTAATATGATTGCCAGTGTTTTGTGTAGACAGCATAAAGAACTGTCTGCCAGATGAAACATCTATTTAGAATAAAATTTACGAAGTAATTAACACACTTACGGATACCCTGTTAATCGGAGTATACTACGATTTCAGGTTACCGCTAGTGTTTTTTGTACTGATTAGTTGAGTCTGAGGCCGATGCCCACTTTACGTATGTAGCACCATGACAAAACTATTATTTTTCATCAAGTTGATTCACGGCTGACTAGGACAACTAGATGATACAGCAACGAGGCTGAAAAATGTCTAGTTTAAACGCTCTGGACGAACGTCTAATATGAGAATTTTTAGACATATCAACAGTTACGAAAACGATAGTGAATTGAAAAGTTAATTCTTACCCAAGAAGGTGGTATGAACTGTTACATAAATGCTAAAGCACCGATGTGAGAAAATCATTTGGCCTATTTCGATTTGAATGTACCAGCAAGAGCACAACGTATAGCCCAGAAGGTATTGAATCCGTGACGAGTTTTTTGTAGTTTAAGGGTTTAAAAGCGTACAAAAAGCCGTCAATATTTTTTCCTATCTACTTTATCCTATCCCCATGCTCCTGCGGTCGTCCAACTACGTTTAATGGACTCATAAGGACAATCACTACTATATATTTGTTCCTACATGTACACATTGCCCAAGTTAAACTTTTCAGACTGCAGTGCCATGGAGTACCTTGTCGTCGCACAAGCGTCTCATAGCGTTTTTCTATAATATTTTATAACTTACAAGCATACGGGCGGTTTGCCGACTACTCTTTTTTTGTCTCTCATTTAGTGCCCCTACCCAAAAGCTACTGGAAAAGCACTTTCGTTTGATGCCTTTCTTCTTATCGCTGGCTCCATTGTTAGCCTGCGCCGTTGTGAAAAGGATAAAGAATACAAGAGAGACCGGGACTATCGTTAAAAACATATCTCTCCATCTGATGGGTAAGCAGCCGCTGGTTGTTGGCTGCATCAAATTGCAACACGGTTCCAGTGGAATCGACAATTCAATTGCTGGTCATCCTCGTTCCGATATTATTTACTAGGCAAGAACCGCCGTAGGGTCTCGCCGCCTGGGTTTCGTATTGAGCTTTGAAAGCAGCAGCAGCAACAAAACCGAATGGGCAAAGTGGACAACGTCTTCATGGGGTGGAGGAGGTGGCGGCGAGTTTTGTTTATTGGAGGATCTAGAAGATGCGGCTGTTATGTTCTCCACCCAAATAGAACGGGACCGTGATTGGCTTTTCTAGCAGAGTTTGCTAGCATCTCCTCTTAAGAAAAGACTCTCAAGGTCCCGTTGCCGCGGATCGAATCTTTCCAGCTCGGATCTCGTCATCTTCAGCATGCCTCTATCAGAAGTTAACTACAGACGGTGGCTTGAAAATCAGGCAGAATAGTGGACCCGACTGTTGGACACAGTTTGTGCTCGTTTTAGGCCTGCGTCCGGCGGCATCTTCAAGACGTCATCACCGAAAACCTAAAGAACTCGACGCATCCTAGTACCATGTACCAAAAACCAGGATAACAGTCGTTGATTCTACACATATCCCCCTACCACCGTTACTGCAGCTTCGACAAGACGAGCAGCGGGAACTCTACGAGAGATAGAACGTCGTAGACAGACTAACTGGGCTAGCACAGGCGGTATCGGGTGCAATAAAACTGCGAGTTCAGCGAAGTCTACGATGACGAAGCCAACGACAATAAGGAAAGCGAGCGGTTTGAACTTAATGAGGAGTGCATCTTCGTTTTCTTCTTTTTATTATTATCAAATGGAACCAAACGAAAAAGCAGGCTGAAACAAGAAAAGAGCGGGGAGTGCGGTACGGGTCGAAGAGACAGGCAGCGAGCGAAGTTGTGCATACGAAGCTGCACGCCGAAGGCGAGCAGAGTGCCAGGAACAAAGAATAGTTCTTTTGAGAGCTGCCGCTTCGGCCTTCCCACTAGCGAAGGGCAAAGGGTGCCGAACAAAGAGTAAAGTCGTATTGAAAATGCAGCCGGAAAGATGGCGACAGATTGAGCACCGTCGGGGCTGGTTTGCCGCGGCGTTTCGCGGTTCGCCGTAACCATCGTTGTCTGCCGCGGCTTTCGTTTTTCGTGCATTTCACCAACGGACTACCAGGAGACCGCAGAGCCAAAAAGGGACGAGCCGCCTCGTTGCAGTCATCTTCGTCGATAGTGCATGAGCGTTCGTTCGACCTTGCTACGACTCCAACGATGACGACAGTGCCGATAACAATAATAATAATAATAATAAATATAGTAAGGATAATACAGAGAAAATAATATAGAACTAGTTCTGAATACGAGTATTGACAGTTTTGTGCGGGTGGCATACAGATATGGTTCAATCTTGTCCGGTTTTACTTCCCGGAAGCGACTTCACTATACCTCTAAGTAGAATGCTTCATTAGGGGCAACGGTACCTTAAGCTATGTATGTTGTGGTTGTTCTCGCAAGCGGCAACTGATTGGTGCAGTACCGCATTATCCTGTGTGATACAGTCGCCTGTGATGAAGTCAGAATAGAAATGTGTATTGGCAAAAAGTCTTTAATATATATGCTATAATTCAAAGTGCCATATAATCCTAATAAGGTTACGTTCTCTAGTAAGCTGTAGTCTGCTGACCATTTTGAGACAATAGACGCTCCTTGATTATAGACACTGAACAGGTTTGAAGTACGCGATACGTTTCATTACCAATGATACTTACTGGTTTGCTGTGTCGAGAAAAAAAATATTACTAACTAAAGTTTTTGAGGCCTGCCCCTAGTACAGTCATTAAGTATTTTTTCAAACGCTGCTCACTTCTAGACATAGAGAAAAGAGTGACTGTGCCCGGTTCTGAATTTAGAAGCCAGAAAATCTGCATGAACGTCATCGTTTCGTCTGCGCCCCTTGAAAAGACAGTAATTACGTGGCCCGTAAATAAAGTGACTGTTGTTTTGTTTCGTACTTATCATTACGTATTTATAAGTGAAATATTATTCTATAGTAAAGCCTGATTCGAATGGAAGCGTCATAAAGGAGCCAGTTTCAATGTTGGTGTTGGCAGCGAGAAAAACTGACATTTTTCAGCTCGATCCATACACTGGGAGGCTATATTGACTTGTGTTCCTGCATGAACAGCTCGTGTGCTGAATGAGAATTGTCCGTGTGACCCTGAAAGGAGCGCTCATGCAGGGTAGTACAAATAAATATATATATATATATTGAATGGTGATCCACATCTGCATAATGATCAAACTCAGATTCGGATGGAAACAAGAGGTTTATTTATCGCGGGTGGAAACGTTAAGGGCAAAACTTTTCTTTTTATCGGCAGGATTTGACCAGTCGGAGTAACATCTAATTAGTTGCCAATAAAATATCGGTGCCGATTGACACTTGGCATGCTTCCTGCTTAGCTATCCAGCTTCCTACTGTGGTATTATTTGGTAATAGGTTGCAGTACATAGATGCGAGCTGGCTAGACTGTAATGACTAAGGACGTCAGGAGCTTTTCCCAATATACTTTAATACTCTCAAGATGACGATGTTTCCCCTGGCATAAACTTAGATTACATAGAATATGGTAGACGATCATAATGTGAATAGTTCTATAGTTTGAATGGCGACATCTTCAGCAAGATGTGATTTTTATAAGACATATATTTTCCAGCATAGCGTCTTGCTATCAGCTCCAACCAACTAGAGAGAATGATAGAAATCATAAAAGTCTCTTTGAAATTCTCCGCACACATATCGTGACATGCAAACATACTGAGTTCGCTCCGGGTAATGAGATACGTTTAAATTACGGGCTGAATGGTTTGTTACTGTCATCGTAGAGAACGCGGCATAGTTCCTCTAGCATTTAACTTGCGGTAGGTACATCGACAGTATAACTTTCTTTCTATAGGCGATAAGCTGCCAGAAGAAACATGTGCGTCAAGGTAAAATTTTTTTGTCTTTTTCTTTTTGCCGTAGTTGTCTGAGTCGCTAATTGGTCGATTGATATTTCCTGCTTCGATGAAAAGCTCAACTTGTTCTTGGATCGTTCTAATCCGCCAGTAGTAATTTTTTGAAATCGCAGTTACGGAGTATAACCAAATCTCGAAACCAGGACTGACTATGTCTGTATATAAACTGCGTCACAAAGGGAAAAAAGCCACAGAAATACGAGACATTCTGTATTTTGGTTGTAGTCTTGATTTTCGTCAGGCCAATTAGAAAGAGCCTTATAGAGATTTTGTTCCAATGACCGTATCGATTTCGGATTTCACTGTAGAGCACACACTTTGTACGTTAACGTTAACGTTAACGTTAACGGTTTAAAGAGAATAGACAGCAAAATGGTGGCATGTCGAGAAAGCAACCTGTATTTTAGCAGCTGTAGTTGTTGTTGTTTGATTCTGTTTTGAGTGGGATCTTTAGGCGTTTTTTACTATTTTATTAAGTAGTTTATTTACTTATGCTTAATTGTTGTTGAACGATAGTGAGATGGGCAATCCTAAATTTGGAAATATTAATCTGAACTGAGCTGTTCTACCTCAAAAATATATTCTTTTCAAAGAAGAACCACCTCGAATCAAACATTCCGAACATAGCGAATCCTTTTTCCATTTAGGGATTATAAAAAATGTTCAAAACAATATTTATCTAGTAGGATATCGAGATCCAAACAGGTAATAGCACTATTACAATTAATCAATCCTGCGTTTTCGGATAACCCATAACGACATCTGGCACGGATACGGTTATTGTGGGCGCTTTTTTGTTCCAAGAAGTGCTCGATACGTCCCTGGTGGTCAGCCAAACTGAGTACGCTGCTGACCGTCTGATTGAAGGCCAGTTAGAATCCCAAACATATTCACGTATGTGGGGCGTTTCGAGTACAAACTATTCATTGGCTCGGTCAATTCAGCATATTTGGTTCATCCCTTTTGCCAGTGGCGCACATACATTGTTCTTTAAAGAAGCGGTTAAGCTAAATATCCTCCGGAAACTTTTGCTAATGCTTGAATGCATCGAGGGTTCACTGTAGGGGTCGTATAGCAAAATATTATATACATAATGGATAAAATATACATAAAACTGGTGAAATAGACCACTATATGAAAACTACTATACAAATTATATTTCTAAAAGTCAAAGGACGAACGTTTATCACAGGATTTTCCATGTGATCGTTATGCGCATAACCCGATTCTACGAACAAGCTGGAACTATACAAACACACCAGTGAATCGACAAAATTTGATAAATAAAAATGGCGACTTACAGTGAACAGCAGACCTGAGACATTTGAAGCGTCAGGAAAAATCTTTTTGTTTAAAAAAGTCTTCGATTGAACTGTGTAAATACAATAGTTATAAAAGTGAAATAAAGTGGAACAAAGATCACTCTAATGGATGCTATCCGTCATCAGATATATAACGAGCTTTATTCTAACGTTAAAGTTACTTAAATAAGTAAAGCTGAGGAAGTGGGTATATCCGTTGAGCGGAGAATGGCAAAGGGATATTGAAACAGATGTATGACGTACAAAATCCTAAACCTGTTAATTGTGTGACAAGTACTGAAATCCCTATAGGTCGAAAGACTACACTTTTTACAAAGTGGATCTTATTATCGTAGGCGGATAATACATTTTTTATTATCAAGACGGTAGCTTAAACGACCAATCCTGTAGTTGTTAAGCGCCAAAGGCCGCTGCTTCGAGTCCTATCAATGACTCAAAAAAAAAAAGTGGTTTGGATGAATAAAGAAAACTGTATTTCTATATTATTTTATACTGAAAATTCACTGAAGTATCTAAAGTTAGTTAGGCTGATGCCGCAAATTGACTAACTAAATAAACACCATAAGTATTTGACAGAACCGATAATTGGCTAGCTGTAGCGAAATCCATAGATCATACATGGGCTTCTAGCCGTTTCGATGTTTACGTTAATTTCCTGCTTGCATATGTCATAGAGACTAAACTATGAACTAAGTCGTTTCTATTTTCTTGTTTTTTTGGTAAAAATTGATCAATTATGTGAAAACTCTATTTGTTCGAATAAACAAACAAAAGGCAAACTGCTTATAACTCAAATATACTTTTGTATGGATACAACCCAGAACTGGGGCAAATCGTTTCTTAGCTCTTATAATCGCCTGGAAAACGTACAGCACAAAGGCACTCCCCAACCACGATTACTTCCACAACTACAGTTTCTTGGTACTGGTCTACCACTACGGCCCTGCTATCCTTCCACCAACCACCACTGCTACTAGAAGCAGCAGCAGCAGCTGTTGGACGGCTACGCGCGAACTCCCTTTGGTATTCTCTCCTTTCTCGTCGATGGTGCATTTCAAAGGCGGTAAAGCGATCTCCGCTAGGCTACCCACTCGACTATTAAGAGATAGTGCACATTATTAAGGGATAGGAAAATATGTTCGGAAAAATCCTTTAGTTTTCCTATTTGCAAGTTTACAGACAGTGCAATATCGGCAAACTTTTCGGTAAAGTTTGTTCAGACAACTTTCTGTTGCAGCGGTTCGCCGCACTCTTCCTGGGCTGAAATACTTGCAGGAATGTGCCACCGATGGAGCTACTGTTGCGAGCTGACCAATGAGCGACCGACAGGAAAGGGCAATTCGGAAAGGGAGAGTCGTTTTGAAGACGCTTACAGGTCGGGCTGGTGAGCAGATTGTAGAGCAAGCCGCTAGAGTGTGATGACGTTGGTCCTGCGACGCGGCACTCATGCCCGCTAAAGGCTCAGCCACCGAACTCGCAGTCACCTCAGTACAGAAAAGCAGTTGCAACAGAGGCGGCCGCTGGTATTAGAGAGGTACAAGCTACTGATAGGCAACAAAGAAACAGTGGAAGCAGGGAGCCTCCATAAACAAACCGTTCAACTCGATTTAGGTGTGTTTTATTAAAAACGGACTTCTATTTGTGTGCCTCGATAGTGTATATACGACTATACGTTTGTGTGTAGTACCTTCCTATACTGCTCGTATGTGTAGATGTGAACAAATCGTACTGCGCTCAACCGCTTCCTGTTCCGGCCACTCCACACTGCGCACCGATCGAACAACTGTTCTAAAAGCACTGAAATTGTTCGCGCCGCTTTATGTCTTTAATACTATAATTTCATGCACAGTTCTACATGAACGGCGTTTCATAAGGCGTCCGGATCAGCCTAGAAGTTTTGTGTAGAAGAAGATCTATGCCTAGGAGCCTAAACGCAACTCGGTGCTGTGCTACAAGTGGTGATAGCGAAGTTCTTTACAACTCCTAAAAGCATTTGTACTAACGACATATTTATCTGCACATGTAGAACACATTGAGCACGTCACAAAAACATCTTTTACAACGGTATCACTGCATACTGCCTACACATATTACTCCTGTCATTTCGCCTTACCAGTATCGTCGATTAATTAATGTGAGCTGTGTGTAAATATCAACGCAACAGGGCGTTGTTTTTTTGCTGTTGTGAGGCGAGTGTGATAGAGCGTAAGAACACCAAACTCGCCGTGTCTTCACTGCATTATACCGTTAGTTGTGAGAGAATTCCATATCGATCTACAGTAACAATATTATCCTACCTGTGAACTGGAGTACCGAGAATAGTATGCCAATGGTGTTACAGGCCAACTCGCTTGCCTGGGATAGACGGGCTTTGGCCAGCCAGCTGTTCGCTCAGCAGCACCTTCAGCAGCTACAGCAGCAGCAGCAGCAGCAGCAACAACCGCCACCTCAAACTCAAGATGCCTTCGGAATGCAGCTGCTCCAGGTGGCGGGCGGAGGTGTCGGGGGTGGTCCGGATCCTATAAAAGTGGATCCGTGGCCGTTGACGACGCAGCTGCCCGCGCCAGCCGCGATCTTCCACCCGCTTCATTTGAGCACCCCCACGCTCGAGGTACGGTCACGGCTACAGGCCCCTGCCCTACAACCGAGTCAAACCCACGTGTCAGCACTGTACCCAGAAATTTTGGCAATGATCTTTAGCTACCTAGACGTACGTGACAAAGGCCGAGCCGCGCAGGTGTGTACAGCGTGGCGAGATGCCGCTTATCACAAATCGGTGTGGAAGGGGGTCGAGGCTAAATTGCATTTGCGGCGTGCCAATCCATCCCTGTTTCCATCGCTCGTACGGCGTGGGATCAAGCGCGTACAGGTTCTTAGCCTACGGCGATCGCTACGTGATGTCGTACAGGGGGTGCCTAACCTCGAGTCGCTTAACATGATTGGCTGCTATAATTTAACGGACAACTGGGTGAACCAGGCCTTTCCGAGCGATGTCAGCGCTTTGACTACGCTGACTTCACTCAACCTATCGATGTGCAAGCAGATTACAGATTCATCGCTTGGCAAAATCGCTCAACAGCTGCACAATCTTGAGGCACTCGAGCTTGGCGGATGTTCGAACATCACCAACATGGGACTGTTGCTGGTTGCTTGGGGCCTCAAAAAGCTCAAGAACCTGAATCTACGCTCGTGTCGCAATATATCCGACGATGGTCTTGGACATCTAGCTGGCTCGTCAAAAGAACAAACCAATGGTGTCACCTCACTCGAAGTTTTATCGTTGCAGGACTGCCAGAAGCTAACCGACGATGCGCTAGCGCATATCGCTGCCGGATTAACCAATCTCCGCTCGATAAACCTCTCATTTTGCGCCTCGGTGACCGACTCCGGTATGAAGCAGTTGGCGAAGATGCCGCATTTGCGCGAGCTCAACCTCCGTTCATGTGACAATATTTCAGATATGGGTATGGCCTATTTGGCAGAAGGCGGTTCTCAGGTATCCACATTGGACGTGAGCTTCTGTGATAAGATCGGCGATCAAGGCCTCGTACACGTCTCGCACGGCTTGTGCCACCTGCGTAGCCTAAGTTTAAACGCGTGTCCGGTTAGTGACGAGGGTTTGCGTCGGCTGTCCAAGGCGTTAGTGCACCTGCACACGCTCAATATTGGTCAGTGTGTTCGTGTTACTGATGTGGGATTGGCAGCTATCGCTGAAGGCCTTCAGAAACTCGAGTGCATCGATCTGTATGGCTGTACGAAGATCTCTACAGGCGGCCTTCAGAAAGTGATGCAGCTGAAGGGATTGCGCGTTCTCAACTTGGGTCTCTGGCAAAAACGGTGACATGAGGAGGGGGTGGAGAGGTCCACCCCCGCCCCGATCGCCCCAATGGCGCCCATTGCCAAGAGAAGGCGTACACTTGTCGACTCGATCAAGTCTTCCAGGCCCATTGTGCACCATCAGAGTACTGCTACCACAAACTATCTCCTAAGCTAGACTTGAAACTGGTCAGCTTTACCGGATATCTGTTACAGAAAAATACAGTACTGTGTAGAACAATAAGGCGCTCGCATCAAACTTGAACAAAATGACGAAAGAAGAAAATTTAACTGAAAATTTAATATGAGAAGAACAACAATAGCTGAAGGTGCACTGTGCAATACTACCTCCCGGCTGTCACGAGGATTTCCAGTAACTCTTCTGATTAAGACGAAACGATCACAACGCTCCCATTGAAGACGCAGAAAATAGAGGATTAAGGTTAATCAGCGGCAGGACAAGATATGTAAGGAGAGACTACGTATTTGATCGCCTCGATGATAAATGGAAATGGCGTCGGTGGACCGCTACACAGAGTTGCTTAGAGCAGGGTTCAATATTATTTTCTGTACAGAGATCCCCCTGTATATTGTACAGTACTATATGCTTCTATAGGAACATCTTCATTGAACGGCAGGGAGACGGAGAAAATGACACAGAAAGACAATGAAGAAAAACAATAGATTCTACTAGTATAAATTAGGGGGTGCTGCTGGTTCCATAACAGCCTCTAACTAACCGGCATCTAGCCTGCTGAAGGATAGATGGTGGGTCCGGTATGTCTTCGTGGTTAATTGAATAATATTAGGAATCTGTGTGAGAAAAACAACAACGAGCTGAAGGAATGCAGCAGGTGATTTCCAGGAAGCAGCAGGAAATACGGAAACAAGCACACTAAACAAGCTAAGGGCATGTAGCTCATATTCGTTGGTCTTGGTCGCTAGTCAGGACAACAACAAGGGCATTCATTGTAAGTCCTTTTCTGGGAGTAGTGTTTTGGGACTGATTAGAGTTGTAGTGGTTCCCAACAGTCGGGTTGAAACTCTGCGGAAAAGGTATTTTTGCGTGGATTGAGGGCTGGTTTGGTGGGTGGGAATGAATGGGGCACGAGTAGCGTTAGGGCTCCGTAGGCCGCCTCCACTACCTACTTATGGAGTCAGGAGGCCACGGAATCCTGACTATTGTAATCAAGTGAGGTTAATACTGGACTGACTGCGGCATCAGAAATGGTCTGGATGCGAGCATCAGTAGGTACCCTCATCTGAAAACAAGATCTCAATTGTGCAAAGTGTGTAAATATGTTTAAATGTTGAATGAATAACAAATAAATGGAGGATTTTGTTACCCCGATGTAAAAAAACTTGGACGTTGTCATGATTTTCGTAGGTTCCTTAGCTTGGTTAAATTATCACAGATGCGGCGGATTGCTGATAGAATCGAAGGCTACCAAAAATGGTTTGATTTTGCTTAATGTTCGAAAATGGGCCAGTGTCGATGTTTGTTTAATCGGATTTTTCTTAAGATTATCAACGTTATAAGTACATATATAAGATACATAAAGATGGCGTATTCAGTAATAGTCATCTGAACCAAAGCAGAGACACCAGTAACAGTCGCAATGATACGAACTGCAATTTAGCATAATTTATTTAAACAATAGACCGATAGTATAGACGTGTTTCCATCGCGCAGATATATAGGTGTGTCAGTGAACGCTGGTCGAGCATGTGCGAAGCAGGTGGCGATCGGCAACAGGTTCTCGCTACGGGGGCACGCTCGATATGTGCCTATTCGAATAAATGAGGCAACTGCATGGGTCGACAACACAGCAGTTATTTGGAACAGTAGCATCTAATAGGATTTGGATCGGATGCGACATCAGCCACCACGATAGTTGGACATCGTAGCAAGCAGCACTGCCACAATAGACAGGGCTTTACCTGCCGCTTGTTTTAGCAGCGCCAGAGACCAAGGAGTCAACGACTTCAACGAGCTACTAGAAGACGTCAAACGATAAACTCACGATCGACCGAAAGAAAGACTACGGGTGCGCTGAGGTCACAGGTTGCTGACGATGTAGCAGTCGCAGCTGGCAATGGCCTGCCGGATCGATGCCGCCGTCGCGGCGGTAGGCACCATAGTGTTGCAAAACGGTGTTGCTGCTGATGGCGGCTAGGCGGCTTTTTTTGTCCTTAACCCTAAGGACATTCTGATGGGGATGTGTGAAACGAAGCGGCGACAACAGCAGCGTTAGTAACAGTGACCGCCGTATGCGAAATAACGCGAGAGCGCCGAAATAGGCGCATATATATATCGAAAGGAGAGAGCTGATGGATAAGGCATATCTCTACAAGGCGGCCGTGCTGAGTGCAGTCGGAGACAACAGAAATAATAGCTTGTCGGCCATAGCACTGGCCAGCGAGTGATCGGCCACGGAGGATTTGCTGTTGCTACTGCCTAAGCCGTTCCAGCTATTCCTGCTACGACGGAATCCTAACGTGTGTAGTAGAATGAAATACCATAGATAACAGTATAGTTAGACGAAGTTGTACGTTAGGGATAAGTCGCAGAATATACCCTATGATGTAATACAAGTATTGATTTTGATACCTTTTGAGGAAGCGGTAATACCGAGAACAACAAGTGGATAGTCACATAGATATGAATGAGGAGGGTGCGTGTACGACGAACAAGACGACGACCTGTTATAGTATGCCGTTTATAGAAAGCGCAAGCACTTTATGCAGGATTTCTGAGATAATCTTTTACGAAGAATTAACACGTACAAGGCGGAACGGGGAACGGTCATATAGGTGTATATAGTCGGTCGACTAATGGCCATTACCTTAATTCAGGTTTCACGAATTGCTTAGAGGTACGCTGGCTTTAAAAGTTATTATAAAGGACGTTTTTGAACTTACGATAGAGACGATCTCAGCAATGGATATCAACTTAGCTGGTTCCGCTAAATAATTGCGTAGCCCGTTGAACAGTTTATATATATATAGCAACATTTTGTTTTATTATAAAACGAAACACAAAGTTCTAAAATGTTAGGTAACCCTTGAACTAGTTTAGGATTAGAACATACGACACGTCGATACGAAATAATTAATCCAGAAATTAGGTTGATGCGGTTCATTAGTAGACTATTGGCACGGTTGGTCTACGCGATTAAAGACTGACTAGCTAGAAAGTTCAGAAAATGCCTGCCTATGCCCTAAATGAAAATTTGCAAAATTCTTGTTTGAGACTGTAAAAAAAAACGTTTGATTGACATTTAATATTCAACCACACTTTAGAATATTTCCAGCATAAAAAGTCACTTTGTTTATTGATTGACAGAAGCTGACAGGTTTATTGTACTTTTCTTCTTTCTACTTCACAGCCTAATTCTCTTAAAATATAAACTGTTCTTTATAATTATGTTTAATATATCCGAAGGCATTTATCTAGTAGTTGAAATAATCTGCAGTGTATGTTTTCAATTTATGTTAGAGATTCCGTTTTTCTGATCAAGTGCCTGCGAACGAATCTGCACAATCTGGTCGCATTCAATATTTGGTAATGTTACTTACATAAATTACTGCTAGTTACATCAGTAAGGCGTAGAAGTTAGTTTTTAAGTCGGGCTTTGCTCTTTTCGGATCGCTTACCGCCACAGGATAAACATACTTTTCAATACTAAGTTCCGCGACGACTGAAAAAAGATGTTCTCGCCTTTGACAGCTTTAACTTGCAATACGAACAAAGAAACGCTAGATGTCAATACGAAAACAATAATGTTTGCTGGGTCCAGTCGAAGGTAGTACCCGGGTCCGTAGTATGAGTCAGTTATAAAAACTGACCCAGCAAAATCGATACCATTTCAGGGCATTTTCTGTGTGTAGGATGTTATTCAGGTTTTCGTAACGTCAATTACGACAATTCGCTGAAATCAACATGTCGCTTTGTGCCGTATCCAGCAGCAAGCTTTAAACGTTAGCAAGTTCCTATGTAAGCATTTTATCCGAAGTTGCATGTACTTTTTTTTCTTTATACATTCAGTATGTTAATTACTTATCTAACTTAAAATGTCCAGACTAGGTTCGATTTGCTGATGCTACAAACCTAGATCCTTGCCTTATTAGAATGCCGACCAACACGAATCACGCTAGTAACTGCATGTGTGGGCAGATCATGCATCTCCGTTTCCTAACTTTAAAAGTTTTATTTAGGTGAAGTACTGCTCTAGCAGCTGGTGGAGTTAGAAGCCAAGCAGATTAAATTGTTGGCAAATCATGAAATACCCGTGCACTAGTTAGGCTGCTCGTACAGATCGGCTTATGCACCTGACATCGAGCTTTGCTTTCTCCGATCAGACGCAATCAGAGATCACAAAAATTGCTTCGGAGGTGATGGTAGTTGGCTCTAAACGCCTGCGAAAGCTCCTAGCTCTGTGTGTCGATGCTTGAGCCACCACAAAGAAGGGGCTGCTGAACGAAGCAGCCCAGATGAGACTTACGTAGTTCTCAGGTATCTGAGCGTTGATTCAATCAAGAACGGTCTAAACCGAGCGAAAATCAGCTTGCTATCATTGGAGTTACTACGGTAAGGTGAATTCGAGATGAACAAAGTGCTAGACCTTCCCGGTGCTAGTGCTGCCACTTTTTGGATAATCGGTCCCTTCCAGTTTAGTTATGGTACGATACGGACCCCTGATGTGGTCTGACTGCATGTGCCTATATAGCTGAGGTGATTGACACAACGCTGACGATAGTGATGCTGGACAGCGTCGGCAGCAGAAGCAACAGACTGGAGATGCGTGAGAACGGACGAACAACTCAACGCGGTGGCCATGAAAATCACGCTCAGAAGCCGCGGGGGTCCAAGCACAATATATACACTGCTAAGCTGGCCTTGTTGAATGTCTTACCGCGGCCTGTTTCGTTACGATTGATGGATGTTCAGCTTTATGGGGAAGAAGCACGGTACTTTGATTTTTGCCATGGGCGTAGGTATAGTTAAGAAATTTAACAGTGTCAACTGGCACATATGAACTTGATTCCCTCGATTAGCTCGATTTCACTCATAGGCGGAACAACGGAGACAGAAACACGTGTTGAACAATGACTCTATGATATTAATCCAGTGGAATCATATCCCTAATCAGTAAAATTTCTCCGCAACGAATGCTCCATATGCAGACACACTCGTCTCGATCTTCATTTTCATGAATCTGCTCTTAGAAGAGCAGCGCGACGTGCGACAAGCTACCCCATACGATGACTTGCGGATGTATATAAGCAAACAAAAACATGGAGGTCTAGCTGGAGGCAAAGCTCAGTTATGATGACGCACGCCCCCATTTACTTCTATTCGCTCTCAGCGTACGTGCTGGCCGCAACAACAGACATGACTCCGGCTTTGAACTCGTTCCGATTCTAGGTGGCAGACGAACGATTGGACGGGTACGGGGCAAAGTAACGCGACACTTGCTAACCACTTCCACATTGAATGGCGGCTGTCTACATTGCTGATAGCAAAAGATTGCCGATCGTCACTGTGGTCTTAGTCGGGAGACGACGGAGCAACAAGCTGGTTTGTCGCCTGCCGACTCAGGGAATGGTCGTACCTCGAATGCGGTCGTGTCGCGAACACACCGAGGGCCTTATGACGTCGAAGTTTCTTTGTAAAGCTGCATGCGCCCAGAATCTAAATGCAGTTTAATGCAGATTTTGCGATACTATTTCGATTCAGCGAACTTAGATGGTTTTAATAGCTCATGCGAATCGGAAAGAGAAGATGGCTGCTTGTTTATATAACAGTGACAGCCTGTCCCTTCTAAGACTACTGGGTAATCGGAAGTTACTAGATCGATAACTTGAAAGTTACGAACTGCTTTGACTGTAGTTTATGTGCCATTTGTCAACCAACATGTCTCAGGATATCGGGGGTAGCAGTAGTAACAATGTTAATTACGAACCAGAGATCCAAGCTCGTACGCTAACGATTCACATTTGGCTTAGAGCGAGTACTAAAAATTAGAATTATTGAAAACTTCGAACGACCTCGTTTTAATATCCTAAAAACGAATGCCGGATTCAGCGAATTTCCATACATGGTTCAGCTTGATAGTTTTCGAATCATCTTGAAATATGTAGCCATGTATGTGATAATACGCTCTATTCTTAGGTAAAAGACGAAATACGGTAAAGCAATGTGTTGACTATGTAGTAGTCACTGGTCGGAGATTCACCAGCAGCTTTATTCTGGTTCTGGGTCAGATGTGGATTCCGACTGATCAACCGATCGACGGTCGAATGAACAACGGGCAGGCCGGCTGATCCCCACCTGGAGACTCAGCTCGG